AATGCTTCTTCTATTGCATTGTCCTGATCTGAAGAACTCACCCTTTCTTTCCTGCCAAGATCTTCTTCCATCACGACGGTTTTCGTTCCAATTCTGGGTCTTAATTGTTCAGAATGGGCCATTTTGTTTTCTTTTCTTTGATATAATTGCCGTGTTATGTCCTCTTTGCATATTGAAATTAGCTCTCTCGGAATTTGCTACGTTGTCTTTCTTTTACCACATCTTTATATTTGTGGAATAAGGCTTCGTTAATGGAGATCTTATTTATCTACTCATTAAAGCAGATGAACTTTGCAATCTGTCTATATGTAGAATTGTCATATAACCAAGCAGCAACCTTCGTAAATAACCGAAAATATTATCTCTACTAGGGAAAAATTCTTTTAATCCCATGTTCACTGTCTGTATCATTCCTTCCGCAATCCCATTAGATTGTAGGTGATACGGTGGGGTTTTGCAAGAAAGCTACCTATCCGCCTCAGAAAATCACAAAATTCTGATGAGTTGTCTAATACCAATATTTTAGGGACCACATTTCTAGAAAATACTAGACTTAACATTTGTTTTATTGTAGTCATTTTTTTCTGTTTTTAACGTCGTCAGGTCATCCGGAAAAGAAGTCTACTAAAATTAGAAATAGTCCGGTATCATTGTGTGTTTGGTTCATATAAACAGACGACCGTTCCGTTTCTTTAGGTTATCAGTGTAGCAACCTTTTTCGATTTTTTTGTTATTTCTGCACATTTTGTACATATGTTCTATATCGCGATAATACTCTGGCCACCATTCCTCCAATTTTAATCTCTTCTCCATCAACGTTATCCCACAATGCACATTATCATATAGACTGTTTATATATATATATATATTCTTACTCTTTCTGTTTCTTTTACATTTCCATTGCATATATCACCGTTAATTTATGTCTTATTTCTTTATGAAGTACTCCAACTTTGGAAAAGTTTCTTCACCTGTTTCTTTTTAATCTTATTCTTTCAGCAATCTTGTTTAATATTGGATCTTGTAGCTACATGGACAATGGCGGCAAAAATCTTATTTCTTATACAAGGGTGAATCAAAAAATAATGCAATTTGTTTTATTATGTAAGAAATAAGGAACACAGTCAAACATGTACATCCAGATATAGCTATATATCACAGGTTCAGATCCCAACTTCTCAATATAGTCACCACCTATTTCAATGGCAGTGTTCCACCGACGAATGAGTGTATGTATCACAGCTTCGTAAGACTAATTTAGTCCGCAAAGAGTCAACTCATCGTGCCTACTTGAGCTCGTATTAGACATAAACTGGTGAGATTATTTTGAACTAACAGCCATATCCAGCTGGCCGATCAGAAAAAGCGTTCAATTAGAATGGAGCAAAAACAGCATCATCTTTAGATGTAACAGAGTCTATCTTCTTCAATTACTTTAAAGTACTTTCGTTTAAAAACATTTTGAATTAATGCAGTTACTAACAGAAGTAGCCTGTATTAATTCAATCGAAGTTAGCCGAGGATACGAAAGAGTAAAACAGGCAACATGAAAACCTACTTCAAACCACAATTATTTTGGAGTTTTTGAAATTCACTGTGCTACCAGGGATTTCAAAGAGGATACATTTATAAATCCACTGTGCCATGTGTCCTCGAGGATACATGGCACACTGGATAAAGGCGTTAGTTAGATCCAGTGACAGGAACCAAAGAGTGTGCGTTCAATACCTGATTAAGGCGGTGGAGAACTTGGAGAGGGGATTAAGCAGGAGATAACTGATAACTGACATACATTAGACATGGCATGTGGAACTAGAACAATCTACCCCAGTGAGTGAAATAAAGGGTTCAGTTCGACATTCCAACAAACTGAAGAAGGCCGGAGCGTACAACGGCCAAAGCATTGTAATAAATATGGCGACAAAGATGAGAACAATAGTCCGAATAATGTAAATAGTGTGCATAATACCGCATCTTAGAAATATAGACAGATACACAAGTTAAATGACTGTTAAACAATAAACTTATTGTTGGCTAAAATTGAGTGAAATTTGTATTAGATTGCTTGAAAATTGTTGGAGTTTTTAGTTTAAAATTTGTGTTGAAATCTATTTTACGCAGTTTTTCGCTAAACACAGTGGCATAGAAATAAAAATTAGGTATCGTTGAGCTCGTCATGATGTAATAACCTACATACCAAGTTTGAGGAAAAAAGTTTAATTCTTCGATTTTTGATCGGGATTATTGATTTGTTTTAATTATCGGGTTTTTACGGTAAGATCCAATCTCTTTCATTGTATAATACATGTGCCAGGTATGCTCAAAAATCGTTGGATGGATATTGAGTGAAATGTTATGACACAGACAGACAGAAAGACACAGAGACAAACAGGCACATAGTCATCCTCTGTGACAATTCTCCTATTTCTTCTTATTCTTTCAGCAATTTTGACTAATATTGGATCTTGTAGAGTTTCTGATACCAATCTTTGTAGAGATAATATTTCAGCTCCATATAATAGTTTTTTATTCCGGACTTGAATTTTTCTTTTTGATCCTTATTGCAATATTGTCAACGCATCGACATATGGTATTGTATTTCTTATTACGTACCCAGTATCAAAATCATAAGCCATTAGTTTTATGACCCATCTTAGAAGTAACTTTTGCTAGCTCTTTTCTAGGGTTAAAAATATACTCTAGAGGTTTATGGTCTGACTTTAATAGGAACTTCTTACTCAATAACAATTGTCGAGCTCTGTGATCAAGACAATGGCCAATGCCTCTTTTTCAATATTTGAATAACTTATTTCTGTTACCGTCAATCTTCTTGAAAGTTACATTATTGGATAGCTTTTTTTGCGATAAAATTGCTGACAGCTTGCACACTCTCATCCATAGTTAACGTATCCTACTTTTTGGAATCAATGCGTTTTTCTGCGAGTATCTTTTTTAAACCCTCAAACGCTAAGTTTACCTTCGAGTCCATTTGCACTCACTGTTCTTTTTCCGCAGTTCAGAAAATGGTTCTATTAATTAGTTTTATAATTGGTTGTATTTTAGTGGGCATCTATTATAAAAATTAACCAATACTAAAAACGAATCTATTTTTATTAATAGGTTTAGATATGGTTCAATAATATCTTTTGAAATTTGGTACTCTAAATATAATATTCTATCACAATATTTGGTACTCTAAATATAATATTCTATCACAATATTTGGTACGCTAAATATAATATTCTATCACAATATTTGGTACCCTAAATATAATATTCTGTCACAATATTTGGTACGCTAAATATAATATTCTATCACAATCAAATTCACACATGTCTTTGTTTATTGCCATAGCCGCATTTGTCAACTTGTTGAACACATTTTTTGTTTTTAGTCTTAATTTCGATGTATCCACATTTAGAACACTTATTACTAATAGTCTATGAATTCTTTTACATTCCACTACTGTAATGGGAATAATTTCAAATCGGTCTCAGGTTTTAAATGTTACATTGAATTATCCTAGATTTTTTTTTATAAAAGATCCATCAAATTTCAGATGACATTTTTTCAATTTCGGTTTACCCATTTGTTACAAAAAAATCTCTTGGGATCAGAGTAACTTCACTCCTCGTATTCACATGCATTGTTAACGGCACGCCATTTAATTTAATTTTTTTTTTTTCAAAATAATTCTTTTTTCTTAGGTATTCGTATTGAAAAAAAAAACGTCTTCAATTCTTTCTTTCTCTACTTTTTCTACACTATTTTCTTTTTAACTTTGCATACAGACAGAAAATTATTTTTCTTCGGTAGTTATGCCAAATATTTCCAAAAACGGAGCACTTTTTTCTTTGAATTTTAGGCTCATGGTTACAGTGTTTCCATTTCTTGGGTTCCTTTGTTGAGACTGCACGTTTCAACCTCATCCTCAGTAGAATTATATTCTTTTATTAATTCCAGCTGTTGCATAAGTTAATTTGGAGACAAATTAAATTTTAATTGTTCCAATATTTTATATGTATCAGCCATAACTTCAATCAAATGTAATTGAATCAATTCATCCTCAATAGTCAAATTTTGAGCTCCAAGTTTCACAGAATCTGCATGTTTCTCTTAATCTGTGAAGATATTGTATAATTGATTCATCTTGTTTCCGTTTAATGGACAGAAATTTGGTTCTTTCTGCGATGACAAGTTTCTTTTTAGATTGTAAACTTCTTTTTATAATTCCGGAAATTTCAACGGAGGCCAAATTCTTCACTTGTTTGGCGTATGACATAACATAAATTTTCGTTATAGCTTCAAAACCTGCCGAAGCAAGAAAGGTGTCAATTATTCCATTTCTTTCCTTCTTGCCTGGTTGTCTTTCCGTTATTTTAGCCTTTGTATCATTCCTTCCGCAAATCTCATTCAAATCTCGACAAATTCTGGAACATCTAAGCGACTTAAACAACCCATCGTCAACGCCATATTGTATTGTGTTTTATTGTAATTTTATTGTGTTATGTTGTATTATATTGTGTTGAATTGTATTGTATTGTCTTTCGTTGTAATGTGTTGTATTGTAATGTGTTATATTGTATTCTGTTGCATTGTATTGTATTGTGTTGTATTATATTGTAATGTGTTGTATTGTAATAAGTTGTATTGTGCTGGATTGTGTTGTATTTTAATGTGTTGTATTGTAATGTGTTATATTGTATTCTGTTGTATTATATTGTAATGTGTTGTATTGTAATGTGTTGTATTGTGCTGGATTGTGTTGTATTTTAATGTGTAGTATTGTAATGTGTTGTATTGTGTTGCATTGTATTGTATTGTGTTGTATTATATTGTAATGTGTTGTATTGTATACAAAACAATTTGTATTAAAATACAACATCAATGAATAGTACAATTTTTCTTGATTCACACGCACAAAAGTCCGTTGTAAAAATGTTCATTCGTATAAGAGAAATTGGATTATTAAAGGAATATAAGAGTCACTTTGTTAATACTTAAGTTTAAGGCGTGCTGGTCACAGGAGATGAAAGGTGAGGTCAATGTGTCGGTAGGAGTCATTCGGTATCTCCGGTGGTGAAGGAAGGCTGGAGGCGTCGAGTTTGATGGAAGAGGAAAGCGTAGCGACATTCTCTGACGGTACTTCAAAGCTTTCTCTCCCAGGAGTGAATTTATCGCTCTATTTATTTGTCCCCATCGGCTCAGAGTCAGTCTGCTGAAGCAAACTGTTGGGTATGGCGCGGAGCCGTTTTATTGGTGGAAATTGCTTATTATTCTTTTTATTTCTTTTTATTTTCCACCGGAAATTCTGCGTGGAGCCGGGTGCGTAAAGACCAGTATTGGTCATTTGCTATTTAGACCTCTGGGGGTTAACATCCGGTCCTTCGCTTGCTCCGTGCCACCACATAACTTTCGCCCCAGTAAACGGAGTTGTTGTTGTTTTTTTTTTTTTTTTTTTGTTGTTGTTTTTTTTTGTTTTGTTTTTTTTGTTTTTTTGATTTATGAGACTTGATCTCTTTTTCACTCCTTGATATAGTTTTCTCCCAAAATTTACTAGTTCCTTTCTTGATTTTATGCAAAGTTTTCTCAAACTTGTTCTGTAAATCTTCCTGATCTTGTGAATCAATCATGCTTTGAAATTTTTTGACCATATACTCCTTCCACTGTTGGGCCTGTGGTGGAATCTCAGAGATAACAGATGTGATCAAGAGTAACATGGCATCCCGATTAAGCCAATCCATACGAACACTGCAGTCTTTGTCCAATAGAGAACAGTATGAAGTCGATTCTTTTGCTTTCTTTGCTTTTTCTTCCTGAACTGTTTCTACAGTAGAAGCACCAGCAAGCAAGGCAGTTGAATCAGTGGCTGGTTTAAGGCTATCAACTGACTGTTTCATCTCCGCATAAAGTTTTTCCAAATTGTCAGCTCGCATTTTCTCTTCCTCCAGTTTTTTTTGCAAAACAGCAATGGCATCATGAGTTTTATTTTCAGACTTTATTTCATCAGAGCTAACTGAAGCATCATTTTGGTTGGGAACAAGAGAAACACCAAAACTTGATATTTGGTCAGGACTGCCTTCATTGAAACTCACATCAACATTCTCTTCTGGAGAAGATTGAATTTGAATGATATCATCATGGAAAGCAGCACCAACAGAACTGCTTATCTCAGTTTGTGACTCAGGGTCACTGTCTGAAGCAGGTTCATTTAGATCCTGGGGAACATCAGCAGGACGATCTTCATTTCTTGAATTTGAGACTACTGGTGGTTGCATTTGAACATTCCGTTTATTTGGCCATCTGCACCACGGCTTACAAAATTTTGCACGTTCCGCAAAGTATAAATGCGCTCGGCAAATTAGAGGTTTTTGGTCCTTGTTAAAATGGCGAACACTGGTAGGGAATTTATTTTCACTGTGGGAACAGCCATGTATCTTTTTAGTTTCATTTTTATTTTGCTGTTCATCCTTTTGCTTCCCGAAATCTGTCGAATATGTGCGGTGTCTTGTTTGTTAAAAATATAATAGTAAGTCGTCCGCCATTTTTCCAAGACGATCAGTGTCTAAATCGACTTGTGCAGCTACCACTGGTTTAATGGAGTGAGGTAGGGCTTGAATAAATTTGTGACGTACGATATCGTCCCCTACGCCAATTCGGCTTGCTAATGACATAAGTTCATTCAGGTATACTGAGGGACGACCTGTTACAGTCGATGACGACATTAATTTGTCCAGCATCTCTGGTTTTGTTTTCTCGTAAGCGCCCGTCACTGCTTCTTTTAGTGCGTCATAATCTTTTGATTGCAGTATAGTTGGCTGTATATTTCCTACTATGTCCACAGGTAGAGCTGCCAAAGTGTTAAAAATTTTTTGACTGGTCTGTTTTATATTTGCAATATTAAATTGCGCCTCCATTATCGCAAACCAAGCTATTACGTTTGATTCAATGAAGTTTGGTGGTTTTATCGCAACAGTTTGGATTGGTTGGTTTTGATTAATTGTAGTTGCTTCAGCGTCATCTGCCATGTTTTTGGTTTGTGTTGAATAAAAATTCTAATTTTGTGACAGTTCAATTTTTTTTTGTGCGTGCGTGTATATATATGTGTTAAAATCACGTCGGCGGTCAACACTTATTGTGTTCGAGGGGGAGTCGATTCGTTGTTACTTGTTGCTTTTATCAGAAGGTAGGTAGTAGTAGCAGTCCTTCGGGACAGCCGCTAGTTTGGCCTAAAGGTTCAACAAGCAATCAATTTGAGGTCACCATACATAAACAAAATAGCATACGAAAGAGAAGGGTGTATCAAAACAATTTGTATTAAAATACAACATCAATGAATAGTACAATTTTTCTTGATTCACACGCACAAAAGTCCGTTGTAAAAATGTTCATTCGTATAAGAGAAATTGGATTATTAAAGGAATATAAGAGTCACTTTGTTAATACTTAAGTTTAAGGCGTGCTGGTCACAGGAGATGAAAGGTGAGGTCAATGTGTCGGTAGGAGTCATTCGGTATCTCCGGTGGTGAAGGAAGGCTGGAGGCGTCGAGTTTGATGGAAGAGGAAAGCGTAGCGACATTCTCTGACGGTACTTCAAAGCTTTCTCTCCCAGGAGTGAATTTATCGCTCTATTTATTTGTCCCCATCGGCTCAGAGTCAGTCTGCTGAAGCAAACTGTTGGGTATGGCGCGGAGCCGTTTTATTGGTGGAAATTGCTTATTATTCTTTTTATTTCTTTTTATTTTCCACCGGAAATTCTGCGTGGAGCCGGGTGCGTAAAGACCAGTATTGGTCATTTGCTATTTAGACCTCTGGGGGTTAACATCCGGTCCTTCGCTTGCTCCGTGCCACCACAATGGCATTGTATTGTTTTGTGTTGTATTGTATTTTATTGTGTTGTATTGCATTGTGTTTTATTGCGTTGTATTGTAATGTGTTGATTTGTATTGTAATGTGTTGTATTCTATTGTAGTGTATTATATTGAGTTGTATTGTGTTGTGTATTGTATTATTCTAAAACACATGATCAGTAGTCAACTTCCTGTCTGTCTCTATGCTTACTATACACTTTATAACTGTTCTTCTTAACATATCCAAATAAATACAATCCTATTTATCAATCTACTACATAAGGAAGATCGAAGAAGGAGACTTGCATTGAATTTAATTTTGTTTTAAGATTGTAGGTGGCTTGGAAGCAAGAAATAGGAAGAGATTTCCAAACTCGAGGAGAACGAGAAACGAAACAATTAGGATAGATGTTGCAGTTACATCTAGCTATTTCAACTGTAAAACAATCTAGTAGTACACTTAAATTCACGCGGTCGAGGTACCACGGAGGTGAGCTCATTAGAGCAACTGAAAATACTTATAGAAAAGACCAAGGGTTAGGGTTCGCCACGGTGACGGGAAAGTGACTGAAATCGAGATGCCAGGTCAGGATCAGTAACATTACAGTCTCTTGTTTTAATCTGCCGCTTTGATAGCTTTAAAAAAAAATAAAAAATAAAATAGACGTACTATCCCAAATGTTTCTTCAAATTCGAAACTATTTTTAACACTTCCGCTGCTAACTACGATCTTCGTATTTCTTATCTTGCTCCAGCTGGCTAAGTACGGAAACCTACGTTTTTTGCATACCCGCTGGTATGAGTGTCCCATTGCGCCATCTATCGTCAAATCACAAAGAACAATGCTTCAAAAGATATCATGTGTATACCCATTACTGATCTGATAAGTAATTCCCAGGTATATCCATGAAAATGGAATGCTGTAAAACACACTGGTGCCAGTTTTCTATGTAATAAAATATGTAGGTTGAAATTTGGCATTTTCTTTTAAAATGGCTGGCCGGATGGGGGCAGCACTGGGCAAATGAGTAGCAGTGAAAGTGTTAAAAGAACGCTTTAATGCAATATATTATAATTCAAAGAGGTGGTTCTCTTACTTACATTATTTTGATATTTTCCAGCTTCGTGACGTCTAATTTCTCCAATTCATCTTCTACTGTGATACCGTGACACGTTAATGTAGTTGGCGATGTGTATTTGCATAAGTCGGAATAAACTGTGGTTGGCCATGCTATTTCGACTAAAAATACAGCGACAAGCCACTTGCCCAGTTCACTGCAGTCACCTAGGCAAAGAAAATGATAAAATGAAGAGATACAATATTTTGCAGCAAATATTAATTCTACCAAGATTTGGAACATTTAGCTTTTATCTTTTCTTTTTTTTTTAATTATTTTCGCAACGATATGTTTGGGTTTATTTTTATTTCGTTAGTTTAGTTGCTTGCATGACCTGCGTGTCGTCCAACAAGGGTTAATAGCAAAAAAATAAGAATAAAACTTTACTTCCCGAAAGAGAGCGCCACATGAAACACAAAAACACGATCTTGTGGCACGAACAAAGTATGTATATCTATAAAAGTTAGAGAAAAACGGAAATGTCTGAGATAGTAAACAAAATAAATGAAAGTTATTACAAATGATTTATAAGAGCAAATGTTGCACAAACTGGCGTCATATGATGCATTCCATAAGTTCTGTTTTCGTTAGCTATGACATTGTGGTGGATTTCAAGAAAAATATAATTAAGCGAGGCAAATAATGTCAGTATAGAACAAGCTATATACACAGGAACCTCGGTTCTTGAACGTCTCGCATGTCGAACAAAACAGAAAATTCGAGATGAAAATACCTCGGTCATCGAACAAAATTTCGGTTCTCGAACAACATTGCCGAAACGAAACGGAATTCACCGAGTTAAAACGAACGGAATAATTTCTGACGCAACCACCGTGTTGTATACATTCGCGTGTTGCACTGTGACTTTTTTTTCCAATTTTATTGGACTGTGATTTTTTTTTCTGAATTGAATCCTATTGGAGAATTAGTTTCGGTTTACGAACATTTCGGGTTACGAACGGCCTTCAGGAACGAATTAAATTTGTGAACCGATGTTCCGCTGTATTAAGTTATGTGCCGGGAACTTCGATATGGTGTAGCGGTTAACATGCATCTCTTGCATGATCAATTACGATTGAGTAGTGAGTTCAGTCTTTACTGGGAGCTCCATACATTCGGCCTTGTGCCACATCTAAGCTAGGCTAATTAAATCGCTATATTAGGT